TTGCAGTATTTTTACTAAATGAGATATTGGTTAAACCTCATAAAATGATAATTTCATCTAATATTGTACTACCGGTCCTATTTGAAGGAGTTCATGTGGTTATTAATGCAATTAGTTAATTTTTTAGATAATATTATAATTGTGTATTTAATTGGATATCAATATTATTAACTACCAATGCTTATCGATCTTTGAGACTCGTATTCTCTAAGCAATTCAATGTCACTATAAATCCAGATTATTAATTGCTAGTAAGCCCAAGTCAGTTCCCTGATCCAAGTGGTTTGCCTTCAGAAACAGCAGCAATTGCCAGTTGCTGCAAGTAGTTTGCAATATAACACAGTCCAAGGAGTCAATTCCAAGATGTTGTGTCTCATACTCAGCATGCATTTTTCAATGATTCTTCCATGCAATAGATGTGCCTGTTGCTGCAACGGCAGTGATACAGAGCCAGCTCTACTTCTACAACCTGATGCTCTTCTTAGACCTGTTGAAAAATAACGGTTGAAGCTTGGAAGTGGTATAAATATAAATCTATAAACAATTCCGAATCCATTGCCATGTGGAGATAATTGTGGAGTTGGTCAGTTAACATAAACAGGTACTTTTAACCGGGGTGAAACTCGCTTTGAAGATTGGTTTGCAGCCGTTCAATTGGACGAAGCAGTAACAGGCTTTTGAAGAAGTCTACACTCTACAGTCTACACCTTCAATGGAAGTGTGCTGATTGCTCGGCTCCAACAATAGAATATTCATGCAAGGTTGTCCAGGATTGAATTATCTTCTGGCAGAAACATATGGTGCCAATCCAAAAAAGGATCGATCTCGATGTTCCTACTACCCAACAATCAGTTATATCCTTCAGATACGCCTGGTATTAATGTGGCAAAAAGGGTTGGGTTTCCATCCAAAGTATTGTTTAACGGAGAGAAGTGTGGACTTCCCACTTCCCACTATACTTCCAAAGAAATCTCCGAGGATCAGAGCAACAACCAACATTTTTGGCTGTCGAACACTTTCTCTTCTATTGCCACTGTAATGATCGCTGTTGGATTGGCTGAGAAATTCTTTTTTTTTTTTTTTTTCCTTTTTCAGTTGTGCTTCTTAGGGCCATTAATATACATGTTTGACTTTATTGTGATTTTAAAAGTAAATATATATATATAATTTAAATATAAATATTGTAGTTTATAAATATATTTGGTATATAAAATTATGATAGTATAAGACAAAATGATATTATAAATAAGATTAAATTAAATAATATTATCCCATATTTATTTGATGTATACAAAAATTAAAATATGATAATTTATTTATTGATCAAAATTACTTTTTTTCAAAATTTATATAATTTAAATTATTGATGTAATTTTTAAGGGTACAATAGAATATATAAATTCAATCTTATAATTAAAAATAATCTTTTCTACTTTAGAAGGATTAAATTATCATATACCAAGAAGGTGATTAATCTTCCTTATAATTCTATTGTTTCCTTTAAATATAAATTAAACTTAATATAGGATAATTATCATATTATCCTAACCATTATCCTATGCACCATTAAACATGAACTATATGCTTTAAATTAAAGTTATTTTTTATAAATGTACAAATATGTATTTTTATTAGACTTTATAATTTTAAACACAAAACAATAAGATGACATTAAAATAATAAAGAAAAAAATGAACGAATTTTTAAAAAATATATATTATGTTTAGTCGTATTAACCCAAATTTTGGTATATAGAAGATATAAAAAATATATTTAATTAAACTGTGTTATACGAGTACACGTATAAGACATGTGAAATATGTTTGACACGTTTAATTATTTTATATTTGTTTTAATTTAATATAAGTATATAAAGACTGTTTTAAAATTTTAATTTTAATATCCAATTACATTTTTAATATAACCATATAAAAATGATTTAAAATATTTAATTATGATACATATTTAATATAACATTATTTTTTATATTAATAATATAACTAAAAAATGAATGTATGATTAATTAATTATTTATATGTTTTATTATTGTGATTGTCTCTAATTTTATGTTTGATTAATTGATAATTATTTTCTTTATTTTTTTAAAGTAATGATTTTGTACGAAAATCCTAATAAAATGTTTAAAAGTAAATGTTATAATTAATTTTATTGAATTATTATATTTTTGTTTTAAAATAATTAATTTATTATTGATTTATTTGATTATTTTATGAAAGTAAAATCAGAAAAATAAAAAAACTTTATTTATAAATATACTAATAAAGATAAAATTAAATCATTGTATTATAATATTAGAAATAATTTGTAATAGTAAAGAAAAAACATTTAATAGATAATTTAAAATAAAATTAAAATAAATTAATCATTTGTCTTATATTTATTATTTTTATTAAAATAATATTTTTTATATAAAATTATACTTAATTTAGTCTTGAATTATTTAAATTATTTTTGGGTCTAATTTGAGTTCAGGTTAATTTAAATTCAATTTAATTCAAGTTTGGGTTAATTTTAATTTTGATAAATTTTAGTTTAAGTTGGTTTTAAGTTGGAATTGTTAATTTTTTTCTGTTCAAATCGGATTATGTTAGATTCTATTCAAGTGAATTAAATGAATTATCCAAATTCAAGTCAAAATTGACAAATTAAAAGCTAATATACTTTTTTAAATTAATAGCATATGTAGTTTCTAAACTTTAATTTAAATTTTATTTTGATCTCTAAATTTTAAAAAATTATAATAGGATCTTTAATTGCTCAAATTTATCTTATTTTAGTCATTTTATCATGAAATTGTCTAAATTGATGGTAAATGTCAGCTGACATTATATGATGATATTAATCAATATCTCACGTGACAGATGAGATACCAAAATAGAATTCTCTCAAAATTTAGATATCAAAAATGAAACCATCTCAAAATTTTATATATTTCATATATGTGTTATAAAAATATGATATTTATTATATTATATTTGCATATTTTTTATTTGTTATAATATAACTTATTAGATAAATTTTTGTTTTAAATAGAAAATAGATATTCAAAATTTAAAATTCAGTTAAAATTTTCAAATTTCTTTTAAAAAATTTAATATATTTTAAAAACAAAAAAATTACTAAAAATATTATTTTATTCATAAATCAAAATAAAACATATAATTTTCCATCCAAAAATTTATTTTTAAAATATTAAATATCTTTTATTTTAACTTTTTAAATATATTTTATAAAATACATTTTATAAAGAAGAAAAAATAAAAAAAGGTTTTAAATTATATTTTTTATTTTATATGAATATATAGCTTTTATATTTTTTAATAGATTAATAAATTTATTTTTGAAAATGATCTGAAATTTTTTACACAATATTTTAACATGATATAGAGTTTTTATTTAATTTCTTAAACTAATATAAATTTTTTGCTCAATTTTTTAAAATGATATGTAATTTTAATTTTTTAAAAATCTACTTTCTATTAAAAATATTATTTTATTTATAAATCATATCATAATAAAAATTTAAAAAAATTTTAAATTATAATATTTTATAAAATATATTTGAAATATATAAAATCAATTTTTTCTTGAATGATTTTTATCTTTTCCTTTATTTATTTTTTATAAAATATATTTGAAAAAGGAAAATAAAATATATTTAATATTTTAAAATATATATTTTGTGGATAGAAAATAATATTTTTATCATGATTTATGAGTAAAAAAATATTTTTAATAGAAAATTATTTTTTTTTGTTTTTAAAATGATATTGAATTTTTATAATTTTAAATTTAATATTTCATAAAATATATATGAAATTTATAAAAATTTTACAATAATTTCATATTTAGTTTTTAAACTTTGAGATAATTCTATTTTGATTTATCATCTATTATGTAAGATGCTAATTGACGTTATCATGTAATGTCAATTGGTTTTTATCATCGATTTAGGCGGTTTCATAGATTGAATAATTAAAATATGGTAACTTTAAATAATATGAGATTCAATTAAATTTTTTTTAAATTTAAAAATTAAAATTAAATTTGAGTTAAAATTTAAAGATTACGTGTGCTATTAACACTACTTTTATTCATCTTGTCTTGTTCGTTTCAGGCTTTGCAGGTTTCCTTTTATCTCTCGCGGGGCATTCTATCGGCATCATTCGCTTGTTCCAATAGCAATAACCTGTCATTGACATAAATGTTACCCGGCTGCTGAAAATCTTTCACGCTACGTTTTTTCTTGTGACCCGCATCACATTATGCCTAATGAATCTAATCCCTTTCATGCGGACTCTGGTTTTCTTCCAAACAGATTTTTCTGAATATTGTTTTCAATCATTTTTTCTTATATTTGTTATATTCATTATTTCTGGATTAATGATCACAGACGTGTTTTCACCATACTATTTATTAAATTTACATTGAATATTTGACTCATTTGACTAGTGCATGATTACTTTGCTCAAGAGCACAATTCAAATTTGAAAATAAAAAGGAAAAAACTTTAGCCAAATTTGAGTAGACCCAAACCAGTAGACCTCTGTAAATTCGGTGTTATAAATTGCCGACCAAGACCCTGATTCAAGTAATATTACCATATTGTAGATCATGTTTCAATAATCAATGCTAAGATACCCACGGCCACGGCTAGAGGTGGACGTTAGACCACCTCCAAAACAGGGCCTGACTCAGGAGAAATTTGGTTGGTTGATCGGTTTTAGTCCACAAATAAAGTATTTTCCTTGATTATGCTCCGCTCACTATCAGCCCTCAATCATAGGTAAGATTGACCATAATATCGTAGAACTATATAGTTTTGCATCAAATGATCAGGGATAGCACAATCATGTTCATGCCACTAGAATATCAAGAGTTCAAGATGTACGCAGCGTGCCATTTGTTTTTTCATTAGTTTGAAAAATTCGCACAAAGAATCGGTACAAAGTAAAACTGATTCGAATATAAACAATGAATCATGTTAAACTGTCAAACTAGGATGCTAAACTGCTGTCATACTGTACGATAACGAGATCTCAAGAATGACTCTTTGAGGATCAAAAGGGCTATCATGATGAAGCATAAAATAACAAGCACTGTCCCTCACATCACCATTCCCCCCCATCTTCTGTGTTCGCTAGGCCTGCATTGCGATATACGAAACGTTATTGTCTTATGCATAACTCTGAAATTTTGCCAAAACTACAATAATCTAAGGACAACAATAACAATTAATACACACACCATACACATTGAATTCAGATGAAACCATGTATTAAATGAGGACATGTGGTCTTTGGGTAGTCAAGGGTTTTGGAAGTGTAAATAATTGTTCATGATATGGATGCAATATAAGGGAAAAAGTTTGTCTGTGGGTGCGCATGTATTGGTGAGAGGCAGAAATACAGAACCTTCTGGAGCTGTTTGAAGCCCTCATCAACTGATGTAGCAACATTTTCGATATTGTAGTCTATCCGATCAACAATTGTGCCCTGATAGAAGATATTAGATAAATAAATCAGCAAGTACCAAGCAACCACTATTAATAGCATAATACAAAGATGCGTATTAAACGTGGCCTATCACAAGGACTTAGAGATCTTTCATGATTTGAGCAAGCTCATTTACTGACTTGACAACCTACAAAAAGGACTATATTCATTAGATGAGAACTACCATTAAAACAATAAAAAACATGCATCCAGATACCTGAGTGATCTCTCTCACGTTCTACAGTTGAGAACGAACTCTGCTTCAGCTTGCTCCTTTGGTGCTCATTAAAACCCTACATTAGCAACCGTCATGTTATCTATACTAGACCCTACAACTGGTTGAATTCAATCGTAAATGATTCAGGCCTTGCAGTCTATTATATATCAAACATTTACAAAACAGGTAGTTGTTTTTCAAAGTGCACTCCAATGCCAAAAGTATCCATAATTTACACTTCACTAGGGTTCGACATCCTTCTGATCTATATTTTTACAACGGCATCACTCACTTTGCAGTAGAGATTGAAATCCCTTAACACCTAAATCCTAATTATAGAAATCAATCCACCTATCCGTTACCGAAACAGTTGCAATTCGAAATGTACAAATAAGAAAATGGCGTAACACATCACAGAATTCACCGTCTTCCAATCTGTATCTGTACTCATTCAAGTTCATCTGCACGTTAACACCATCCTGTCCCTACATAAAAGACATATAAACACAAAGTTGAGCAATGCATAAAACAATCACGGTAACAGAATGCTTCATAGAGATTAGCATGAACCTAACCAAATGTCAATCCAAAGAAACCTCCTTTTGCTGCTGTAGCCGTTTCAAAAACGTTGATTGCTTTCACCGCAAGTCCACCGATAGGCACTGGAGGTCTGTTGCAAGTGAACGCAACCCAAAGTGAAATTTAAACATAAAATAAATAAAGAATTAAATCAGTGAATAAATAATCAGAGATTCATTCATACCATATTCTCATGATATACAATTGAAGCTAGAAAAAATTAACATTGTTCGAGAATAGTAGAATTATTAACAATTACCTGTACATTTTTTCTGAGATTGGAATCCTCGGAAGATCCATTGCTCGAAAGCTTTCGCTATCTCTTTTCCGATCTCCTTAATAGATCTGTAATTTATTTGGTCAAAACCTCAATCGCGCGTTGATCTTCTTTGCCGTCCCCGACCAAGGCATTAAAGCCTTGGAATGAGCTTCGACTAACTCCGCCATCTTGACCTTAGCTTGTTGAATATTTGCCGCTATTTCTTCCAAATCATCAACCCACGCCGGTAGCAAACCCACCGTAAACGCACCACTACTGTAACAAGAATAAAATAAAATGAAATCCAATAGTAATTATTAAGCAAATATAACAATTTTTCCGCCATCTTGACCTTAGCTTGTTGAATATTTGCCGCTATTTCTTCCAAATCATCAACCCACGCCGGTAGCAAACCCACCGTAAACGCACCACTACTGTAACAAGAATAAAATAAAATGAAATCCAATAGTAATTATTAAGCAAATATAACAATTTTTCTATTAAGAAAAAAAAAAAAGAAAAGAAAAGAAGAGAAATGGAGAGGAGGTTACATTGAAGCAGTGATTTAAATCATAATTGAGGTCATGTTTTTTGTTACGTTACGTATATTGTATATTGTGGTTACGAATATAACGGATAAAATAACAATCATTGTACTTATCATAGTCATAATTTTTTTTATTTTTACATAACTTATTATATAATAAATAAAATTATAATTATAATAGTGAAAACTCTTATTTTATAATTGTAATAGTGAAAACTCTTATTTTATGATATTTAAAATAATTTAAAACATTTTAATTTCTTTACTCATATGAGAAAATAAGTTATTAATATTTTTTATATTATATCTTAATAGTCAAATTAATCCATATTTAAAAGTTGTTTAAATATATTCATGAATATCTTGATATTCTCTATCATAATTATATCCTAATAATTTATATTTTCGTATCGTATCGTATCATGTTTAATATATATAATGATATGAATTATTAAAACATAAATACAACACAAATTATAAAACATATTTAAATTAAAAATATGAATCCGATATATTTATTATACGAATTATATACAACACGACATGATTAACATATGTATAATTAATTCATTTAAATACGACATGAATAAATACAAATAATATAGATACACACAAATAGACAAGACTAACATGAATATACATGAAAAAATATTAACTAATACAAATATATACAAAAACAAGACTAAAATAATAAATAACTATAAACTATCCATCATTTTTTACTTAATAAACTTAGTATATTAATAATATAAAAAATATTTGTATATTAAACAATAAAAATAAAAAATTGAAGCCCATTTAATATGTATTTAATATATATTTAAAATTTAATATATATTACATAATTATATTAGTTTTTAGTATAAATTCAAAATGATGAATTATTAAAGATTAAAGAATAAAGTAATTATGTATAGGATTGATATTAATATTAATATTAATATTATATTTTTGTTATTAATATAAAAATAATTTTATAATAATTATTAAATGAGTAATATAATTAAACATTTAAAATAATTATTGCATGATATTGAATAGCTAATTAAGTATTATAATTAAAAGATTAAAAATTAAAATAATCTTTATATATTTATATTAAATAAAAATAAATATAAAAAATATGTTAAATATATTAATGTATACTCTTATGATAAGATTAAATTAAATATGTTTTTCATGTCATATCACATGTTAAACGTATAGCTTTGTGACATTTTATTTAAATATATTTTTCATGTCTTACATATACTTAGATATGTTACTACATATAAAACATGAATTATGTCTTGTCAAAATTTATTTTAATATGAATAAACACAAAACATATTTTTTTAAAATACATATATAATTTTTTTATATTATTTTTGTATTGTATTATTGTATTATGCATGAAATTACTAAATTTAGATTATTCTAAGATCTCTCATGTCCAGAATCAATAGATGGTGAACACCTGGGCCAATTGGTTACTTGATGCTACTAAAAAGAACACCAGCAAATAAAAGAGGCCGGGTCCAATAGTTAAGTTGTGTTTGGTTGACCTTGGGTTCATTTGGGTCTAACTTTGGATCTATCCCTGCTATTTGAACAAAAAATAAATAAATTTTAGTTTTAGACTTATTTTTTAACTCAAATTATCAAATTCATAACCAAATTTGCTGTTATTTCCATTAAGAAAATAATTTTAAAGTTTAACAAGATCATATGTACTAGTTTTTTACAATGACTCAATCTCTTCTTTCATTGCTTTTAACCAGTGCTTTCTATATGGAGTAGTTTGCACAATTTAGAAGCTTTATGTTTCTTTTTTATTGGTAACTAAAATAAAATCTAAACTTAGATACCTAGTAGATGGCTTATGCTCTCTAATAGATTTCTTAGGCTGAGATTATGCATCATTTGATGCCAAAAGTAGCTTTTTCTTCTCAACACTCTCTGGTGGAGAGGACTACTCACCTTGCTCAACATTTTTAGGTAAAGATGATTGCTTCTCTTGCTCAAAACCGATTGCATCTGGCCTATCACTAATTGTAGTTGGCTCATTCATATCCTCAAGTTTTATTTCTTTCTCATTCCACCATTTATGGCTCTTTTCTCTGGAACTTCTGTCGGTATTGAAAAATCACACTCAACAGTAACCCGTGTAGTCTTTTAATTTTTCTCAAGGTTTGATATGGTTTTTTTTTTTCATGAAAAATCACATATCTACTTTTGACTGTCTTTCTCTTCACTGGACCTGATACCCTATAGCCAAATTTCTCATTATCATATCCTACAAACACATACCGGTAGCTTTACTATTAAGCTTTAACTTTTACTTATTTGGTACATGCATGAATGCTTTACACTTGAAAATTTTTAAGTGAAAGTATGAAGCATCTTTCCCTATCCATACTTTTTTTGGAATGTCAAAGCCCAAAGGAACTGATGGTGATCTATTAAGCAAATAACAAGCTATGTTGACTGTTTCACCCCATAATGGCTTCGATAATTTTGCATCCTCAACATACATTTAACTTTTTTCACAATAATGTAGTTCATCCTTTTAGCTACGCCATTATGCTATGGTGTTTCAGGTTCATCATCTCATGCTTGATCTCATACTTTAAACAATATTTTTCAAAGTTTTTGGATATATATTCTCTACCATTATCAATTTGAATAAACTTCAACGGCAGCCCTGTTATCCTTTCCACCATAGTATGAAATTTTTAAAAATACTATAATACTTTACTTTTGTTTTTCAACATATACACTAAAATCTTACATGAAGCATCATTAATAAAAGTAACAAAATACCTGTTACCACTCAATGACTCAACCTCAATAGAACCACATACATCAGAATGAATCAATTTCAATTTGTTTTCTTTTCTCTGAGAACATTTAAAAAAAGAAACTCTATGATGCTTGCCAAACAAACCATGATCATATAAATCGAGAAACATACCTTTGGTTAAGGTAATGAGAGACTACCTTGTCAAAACCTGTAATCCCTTCTCGCTCATGTGTGCTAGCCTCTTATGCCACAAGTTTACTGAAGCATCATCCTCAACAACATTTATTTGATTGTTGTTCAATTACATCCATGTCTTATATATTATACAGCATAGTTTTTCCCTTACAACTACCATAGATCCTTTAAGAAGTTTTCCACTGCCCATTCTTTTGTTGACTTTCATATCCTTCCTTATTAAAGACATTAATTGCAAACAATTTGATTCTCATATCTGAAATATATCTAACATCACTCAAAGTCAACATGCAGCTTGTACTAATTTGTATAACAATATTATCCAATCCTAGCAATCTACGACACATTCTTGTTTCCTATTTTGGTGCAACCAAAGTCTCTTACTTTGTAAGTTGTAAACAACTCCCTCTTAGGAACATAATGATATGCCACTCTTATGTCAACTATCCACTAAATGTCAAGATCATCAACATGACTACAATCATCATATGTATAAATCAAAGTAACTAAATCACTATCTGAATTACTATATGACTTCACTGCTGCTATATTTTCATCATTTGAACTCTTGCCTTTCTCATTTTTTTGCTCTTGCTTCAAGATTTTACATTATTGCTTTATATAACCTGCTTTACCATAATGAAAGCATTTCACTTTATCTCTGGACTTGGATTTATATTTAGACTTATTATGGCCTTTTGAGTTCTGACCTCTGTCGATATTTCTGCCACTATTCTCTGTGACCAAAACTTGATTCCTAGGGTCTAAATCTTTTTGTCTTACTTTTTCATTAAGTATACTGTCTTTTACCATATTCAATGTCACGTTGTAATCAAGAGTTAAATTAAGAACAGTCATAATTAGAGTATTTTAGCTGTTTGACAATGAATCCAAAAGAAACAATGCCTTCATTTCATCATCCATCGTAAGCTTCATAGTAGTCATCCAATTAAATATATCTTAAAAATCACTCAAGTACTTTGTAATCGATCATTCATCCATGTACTGTAAAGTTGTAAGCTTTTTAGCAAGCATAACTTTATTCATACTTATTTTTCTCTTATACAATGTTGTCAATTTTTTCTAAATAATATGGGCATTTGTCTCTTACACTACATAAAAGAACATGCTGATATCAACCCATTTTTTGACTGTAGCCAGCGTCTTTCTACTTAACTTTTTTTAACTTTTAGCTTTTATATCTACTAGTTTAGCCGAATCACCCAATATCAGCTCATATAAATCTTTGCAGTATAAATGATCTTTCATCATAGGCTTCCAAATTGAATAATTTGATACTATCAATTTTGTCATAGAACATGTATCACCCTTCATGATCTCAAATAAAATTTACTTCTGTCTTAGGCTATTTCTGTATCGATGTCTTAAAATAACATGACTCTAATATCACTTGTTGGGCTTAAAAGCGATAAACACAATAACGAATAAGTAATATATCGTAATAAACCCTCAGTAATAAACAATGCAAGAAAAATAAAGCACATTAAGATTTATGTGAAAATCCCTTCAGTATAGAGAAAAAATCACGAATCACCTGAAAAATCTTCACTATTAAATAATGGACATATAAAATTCTCCTATAACTAAAACTATAGCTAATCAACAACTAGAGAGACAATTGAAGAAATCTTATTAAATAGATGACTCAACAAATATAACATAGATTTATTCTTAGAAAACTTCAAACCCGATCTTCACCATTCAGAATGTAGAACTCTAAATCATAAACCTACTGATAAAATTTCAGCTCAATCAGATCACGAATCAACCTTCGTTAAACCAACTATCCCTTTTCTCTTTTCTTTTTATTTTTTTTGGCTTTTTTTATTTCTCTTAGTTTCTACGCCACTCTTTGTTTTTCTATTATATAGCTCCTTTTTTATTGTTTAAAGTTTTATTTAAGTAAAGCTCTCATAGGTCAAAGATAAAAAAAAAAAAAACTTTAGACCTTTTAATTAGCCAAAAC